TCGATTTTTAGCCGAGCTAGTAAAAAGGGGTATATTTTAAATAGCTCGAAAAGGTCGCCGTATTCCTTTTTTATTTATTATAATAGCTAAGAAAAGTAGTTAGTTTTACTTTTTAGCTTTAGGGCTTTATTAATATTAGCAAGGCTAATTACCTAGATCCCCGCAACGTACTTATTTAGTTAGCGCTTTTTTTTTATAACGACTTTATAATATAAAGTAATAAAAGAGGGGGCTTTTAGGCTTTATACTTTATAGATCTTTTATATTATAGCGCCTTTTTTTTATTTATTAAAATACGCTTTTACTCCGCCCTTTTTATATTAAATCCGCCGTTTAGCTATATTATATATAATACAGTTCCGTTCTATCTAGGGTTTTTTAAAAAATATATCTATATCTAGGCCTTTAATAATATATATATATACCTTCTCTATATAGTTACTAATCTCGAGGTTAAAAGCGACGACCCCTTTAGTTATAATTTAAATAGATTTATTTATAAATTCGTAAAGTTTATATTTCGTTCTATTTATATATAAAAAGTAAAAACGGCGGGCTAATTAAAAGTTTATTATAGAATATATATTATATTTATAATCTATTAGCGTTAAAGTTTTATATATTTTATTAATCTTCGTAGTAAATAGCGCCGAAGGCCCGCTTATAGTCCGTTATTAATTAAATAACTCCTATTTTATCCGTTCTTTATTTATAAGCTCTAGTACCCGATTTTATACTAGAACTATTCTTTTTTTAAATAATATTCGTTATTATTTAAGTTTATTTTTTTATATAGTACTTTATAAGTACTATTTAAGCTACGTAGGCTTCCCGTTTTTATTTATAGTTCTTTATAATATATTTAACTTTATTATAATTAAAGTAGTACCGAGTTTTTAGTTTCGTTAATAGCTTCGCTTTTTATTTAGGCTTCGTAGCTTTTATAGCTTTAATTATAATTATATCTCCGTCGCTATTAACGCGTTTTTTTATTATATAATATCCTTTTTATATTAAAATTTAGGGGTTATATTAATTAAAGTTATAGCCCTCTATATTACTAGTTATTATTTAGATATTATAAAAGAAACCGGTATACGACGATTTATTTTAAAGCGTAGTAATTATATATTTTTTTAATTATAAAGTTAAAATATAAATAAAGTATTAAATCGTAACGTCCGCAGGCTATTTTTAACCTTTAACGTTAACTAAAGTTTTTTTAAATCAGAATAAAAATACTACGAACTTCTCGCCCTTTTTTATAATTATTATTAATAATTCGTTAAAGGCGTTCCTAGCTTAATAAAAGTCGTTATATATTTATAAAAAGTATATAAAGAGTTTATTAAACCTTCGTTTTTTATTTTTTTTTCTCTCGTAATAGAACTAATTTATTATTTTTTAAATTTAAGGGGCGAGGTATAAAAAAATAAAGTATTTCCGTTCTTTATTAATATAATAAAATAGCGTATCGATAACGAGCTTATTATATATTTAAGCTTTTTAAATATTATATTTATCTTTATTACCTAAGAACTTTACTAGGTTTAATAAGGGCTTTTTATAAAGGGCTCCGTTATTAAAAAGTACTTTTAAATTAATAAAGGTTTTATAAAAGTCGGGTTTTTTAATAAAAAGCGCAGGGGGTCCGCTTATTTATTAAAGCTATTTTTATAATAGCTATAAAATTTTATTAAACTTTTTATACTCGTATTTCTATTCTACTATATCTATTACTTTTTTTATTTTACTTTATTTTTAAGCTTTTATTAACTTTTATAAACCCTAAATAATCTATTTTTAAATCTATATTATAGCTCTTATTAATTAAGCGCTTAGTAATACGTTAATAATTATATTTACCTCTATTACGTAATATAATTAATAATAAAATAAATAAAAAGAGGAGCTTAGATATATTAAGAATTTAGCCTATATAAGTCTACGTTAAAGGGATTTTAATATATAAAATCTAAGTTAAGGAGTAGAGGTTTTTAGAGCGGAGGTTCTATAGAGGTTCTATAAAGGAAAAGCGCTTAAATAGGACCTCTATAGAAGCGGCGTAGTGAGCCGTAGTAATATCCGGGCTGAGGCTCGGATCTACTAATCGGGTCTAGCCCGTAATAGTTATGTCCTCATATAGGACAGATGAATGGTTGTTCAACCGGAAGTAAATGCCATGAAACGACTATCTGGCAGTAAACTAATAGAGAAGACTTTTTCTTACTCAAGGGCTCTATGTCGGGCATCCTCATCCTGGGCTTATCGTCCAGTCAGCTTAGCACGAGCACGACATAAGCCTAAAGTCTATGTATGATAGGAGTCGCAAGAAATCAGCCTCAAGCCTAACCGCCATTGCCACACGTTAGCAGGATAATTCAAGAGAGCAAAGACTTCGATATCCTTGCGGGAAGGTACGCGGGTAACCACAAAGTTCGGCTTCCTTAGACTTCTATCGTGATTTGTAACGGCATGAGCAAGCCAAGGCCACGCCACCTGCTAAACCACGGAGCTCCACTTATCCACAAGCTCGCTCTTGCAAGCGTATATCAATGCGAGCCTCGCCCCTATTTTCTTCTCCTAATAGACAGCAGATTTGTATTAAACATGTCGATACCAGCGTCAGAACCATTCGACAACTTCGATAGAAGTGATCCTTGGATGTCACCCCGCTCTATTCCCCGCAACTTGCTAAGCTATTCTGCCCAGTCACTGCTACCTGGATCCTATATCTCCGTCCTTTGACAAGAGAACCTTTCATACTAACAGTCCCAAACTAGCTACGTATACGCAACGCTGAGTATCGCATGGATGGACCTCCATGAAAGCTTGTGTGCCTCGGTGTGATCGTCTGCCTCTTTGAACCCGACTCTTGCATCATATAAGCATTGGCGTTTAAGTCGACAACATGTAATGTCAATATCCTCAGAAACTCCTCAGAATTATTATGAAAGATGAGTTCCCTTTGACCAGAGGGGTTCAAAATCGACAAGAAATCCGTGGTGTCTTGCCCTAGTATCTTGTGTATATTGCCGAACTCTGTTTCAAATAAGGCAGCTCATCGAGTTCCAATTTCTAGCTTTATACTTCTGCTTGTGACTTTACTTCGCTTGGAGAAGAGGACCTTGAATTTATGACGGTGGCATTTATTTTGTTGTCCTTGATAAGTCTATTGAACAGGATTTGTCATATCAACAACGATTACTCAAAGCACCTTTACTAGTTGAAAAGCCTAAAATATAATGACAAGGACAAAGCTTTGTGTAAATAGCTGGCTACCGCTACATGATCTGACTGTTCGGCTACCCAGAATTATTGGAGGAAGCCTTTGTAGCATCACGACTGCCAGCAGAGCGTTCACGTGAGATCCAAGCGGCTTGGTCACTGCTGGCCTGACCACCTAGCTCTTGGACGAGTCTCTGTATCGGAGCCATGCCTTCTCCAGCGGGGGTGATCTTATGTGCGAAATCGTCACCTAAGTTTACACCAAGTCGACGCAGCTCTCGAAGAATAATCGTATGCTCTTCCTGTGCCCTCTTGAGACTGTTTACGTCCTGCTTCTTTTTCTCGTTGTGGTGGCGAAGGGCATCCTCAGTCAGTTGAGGCTGATTGTTAGACTTCGTTTGATATGTTGAGGATCCGGTGAGATGCTGGTCGTAGCAGCCGAATAGTTTGTCTCGGGAAGTGTCCATGGAAGTACTGAGGGGGAAGAGAGCGTACGTTAGCTTTATTTGAAAAATAAATCATGCCGAAAAACTAGGACAAGTCGACAGAATGGGGCTCAAACTATGTCGGCGAAGATGATGAGACATCTACTAAACGCACCCATTGGCAGTTGGCTTGAGTGGATCTGCAGATGAAAAAGACGAAATTCTTGGATCCTAAACGGCGCAGAAGAAGCCTACGGTCTGAATTGCAAAAGGAAGGGACAAAAAGAGATGATCATGTAGGACATGGGTTGAGAGAGTGCGAAGGGGAGGAAGTAGCCTCCATCTTGGCTGGGAGGACCAAGGCATTTGATACTTGTGTCAAAGCATGGGAGGCAAGATTTGATGTATGGGCAGCGACTGGAAAACAATGAGCGTACGACATCTAAACGGTACGAAGTCTAATTGTGTGATGATATCCTCGATGGGATGGCCTGCAAAATTACCTTCAGCAGTGTGTGAATTGCGGACACATTCGTGCAGGCAATGCAAGTTCAGCATTGACTGCAATGGTTCATTTTGCAGCTCTGCGAAGAACAAAGTGTGTAAAATGCAGATCTGTTACACAAATGGAATTGGACCTCCGCTACTGATTTGAACGTGATAATACGCGGAAGGAAATGCAGTTTGCACGTGGCGTGAAAGCAGATCTGCAAAATGCAGTCATTTATACAGTCTCGGTAGGTGAGTTCCGCTCCGGGTTGCAAGAGAAGAGAAGTGACAAGCGCAGCTTTTTGCAGTCTAAAAAGTTGCAGATCTGTGACACATCTGCAAAATGTAGGTTTGAGTGCATTGGGAAAGCGACTATCGTGTTGAAGCAAACAAGGTCGCAAGGCAGGGAAGTTGCATATTGCATATTACAGCGCGCTAAAAGGAGACTTAATGTACAGGTCCAACCTGGGCATTCTCTGTTGGTTGTCTTATGGCCGGCGCTTGGCATGTCCGCATAACAGTCTCACTGGGTCCTTGTCTCTCCTCTCTCCATTGCGTACCTCATCTTCCACCTACATGTTACTCACCAATGCACGTCAGATCCCACCTGCTTGACACGACACGATCTATCTGGCTTTCGGGCCTGTTCGCTTCATTTTTCTTTCGGGGTCCCTATTCTCGTAGTGGCGCTTTTGGGAGCACTCTATCCCTCTGTCTAGGCCCTACCCTATCATTCATCTCACTGTAGTATATATCCATCACAAGCCCCTGCGTGGCCCGCGACGGAAGCGTTCTTTCCCAATTAAGGAACATCTTTCAACTGATCGGGGGCGCCTATCAACCACGGATTCGCACAGAATGACGAAAGATTGGAGTCCTCTTCGCGACGAAATCCAGCAGCTTTATCAGGTAGAAAATCGAAAGCTCATCGAGGTGATGCGCATTATCCAAGGACGGCATGGCTTCAAAGCTTCGTGAGTCGCTGGCACTTACCGTATTAGAGAATCGCCAATTCTGACCTATCGGTGCAGTGAAAGGTCGTACCGCGCGCAAATGCGGAAATGGGGCTACATGAAGTACAGCACCCAGGACTTTCCAAAACCGAATCGGATTTCGCATCCTTCAAGGAAGCGTCTGGGATCATCTTCAGCTACCAGAGGGGTGAGAACTACTTCTGCTTTGCCTCTCGCTGCCGATTCATTCAACCCAAGGTAGGCTTTTGCTTGCTACACGTCGTCCGTGAGTCTAAAAACTTAACTGTCACTCAGGCATCCCCCTGCTGGGATAGTTCCAGGCCTCTTACCGCACCTAGACGGCGCAAGCTCGTCATATTTAAATGGCGCTCAATCCATGAACACGGGGATTCATGTGTCTCAGTCTTTTCAACACACCGCTGGACCAGACGCGGCGTGGCCTGCCAATGCTGTTTTCCATCAGAGCACTAGTAATCGAAGAACAGATCTTCATCTTGCCGTATTAGGACAGGATGAGCAACAGGTACAGCGATTGCTCTTTGATGGAAATTCTGTCAAGGATGAAGATAACGTCGGCAACCAGCCTCTGCACTACGCGGTAGACGGAACATCAGAGAATATCGTCAGTCTCCTGATTAAGTATGGCGCAGATGTCAACGCAAAGGGCCAGCTAGGACGCTCTCCACTTCATCTCGCTGTCTCTAAAGAGGATTTCACTCGTCATCTTCTAACTGCTGGTGCAGACACTAACCTCCAAGACGAGAACGGAGACACCCCTGTCCATCTTGCTGTACTAGACTTTGTGCAAAAAACAAGAAGCTCCAATTTGGAATGGTTCCCGTCTGCACTCTACGCCATGATAGGCGCGAAATGCGACCTCAACTTGAGCAACTTGGCAGGAATGACTCCATTCCATGGCTTACTCGCTCGGGATCCACATGCCTCTCCGGGCAGTATCTCAGACTGTCAGATTCATTGTCTTCAAAACGGAGCTAGTCCAACTCAACCGTGTTCTGATGCGGATGCGAGAACTCCTCTGCAGATACTTCTTTCATATTTTTCACGGGATAGCCCGATTACACGATGGGATAAAGCAGCATGTAAAGTCATCAGGATTTTGATTGAGAAAGGAGCCGATCCACAAACCAAGCTTCCCTCCGGAATGACCTTAGTGTCAAGGTACTTTGAAGCATTCGGACTTGGATGGAGCCGATGGGGTTCGAAACCTAGTCATGAATTAGGCGAGACACTCTGCAAGTATGCTGATCTCATGCCACTGTCGGGCTCTGGTGGGAGGCTGAAAGCATCGCTATTGCATATACTGGCGCAAACTTGTGTCAGTAACACCGGGTATAGGGCCTTCGACATCATTGCCTTCTTCAAGGTTGTTTTGCAAAGAGGAGCAGATCCAAACCTACCGGACGAGGAAGGAAAGACGCCTTTGCATCAACTATACCAGACTAAGGGCAATGCTCCAGACATTGTCTTAAGAGCCACAGAACTCATGATAAAACATGGAGGAAACCCTTTCATAGCAGACTCTTCTGGCAAGAGCCCTTTGTTCGGAGCCTCGGAATTTCGACCTTCTCGACCAAGTGTCAACTACGTGTATCATCTTCTGAAGTCCACACTTGACTTCGATGAGATCTTATCCACTCCCAGGGAACGGCAATCGTCTAAGAGGGAATGCCCATGGGACGACTGGGATTCGGCAGCAAACGCAAATGACTGGGACCAAGCCATCAAATTCATCAAAGGCTCCCGACCTTCATGCTCCGATGTGGGAATGGGTAACTTGAAGAAAGGGGCATGTATGGCTCTTGCAGAGTGGCATCTGAAGACATTGGACACAGCACTTCTGAGTCCTGAGGAGACTCCGCAGCGGAGGAAGCGCATCGCCCAAATCCTCCATGATTGTCAGTCACTAGACGTCAAGATGGATATGCGGTATTACCACGAACTAGTGCAGCTCTCTCTCTCTAATACAATGCGATTCTGTGAATTTAAGATATCTTTGACCAAACACCGGAACGCTATGGAGACTTGCCCCAACTCCTGTGTAAATGCACTTTTCGATCTCAAGAAAACTCTTCCGAGATCTGATCAATCAGCTTGCGTGGTATGCTTGCTCTCATTGTGAAAAATCCATTCTAACATGCAACTAAACTGCGAATTACTGGAGGACCATAACAAGCATCCACTGATTAAACCTTCGATTTGGCGCCGACGTTCTCGACCACCTCAGTGTTGCCGCCTCCACTCTTAACCTCGCCAATAGTATCCATGTCATCGTGATGGATGACCTTTTCGACAGCACCAACAGCCTGGTCGGCAAGAGCCTTGTCTTCAAACACTGGTGGAGCATAATCATCAGCCATGTCCATAAACAGATGAGACAACAATAGGATTCATCAGAAAACTTACAGAAAGCCAACTCCTCAAGCGTACGTCCCGCAGTCTCAGGGAACATAAAGTACACAAACACAACCTCAAAGGCAAGCCAGACGCAGTAGCTGATGAGATATCTCCACGATGCCTCCTTAATGCCAATAGGGTTGACAAAGGTCGTGAAGAAGCCTGCCAACCTTCCAAAGAGCTGGAACAGCGAGATACCGCGCGAGCGTAGGGCGTAGGGCCACAGCTCGACGAGGTAGGTGTACGTCAGGGCGTTGTATCCGATGTTGTAGCAGGGCGAGTACATGAAGATGAAGAAGATTGTCGCGACGGAGGCGGACTGGTTTTTGTAATCGTTATCGAGGGCGTGAACGGCGCGTTCCATTGAAATTGTCCAGCTGATGTAGCAGAGGAGCTGAGAGGATCGTGAGCGGGTGAGAGCTTGGGATGAGGTGTTGGTAGAGACATACCAGTGAGATTGTGCAAGCTAGGTACATGACGCGACGGCGGAAGGTTCGCACGAGCATGGCTACGGTGAAGCCGCAGACGAGGGACCAGCCGGCGATGCCGAGGTTGATCTTTTGCTTGACGGTGGAGTCGGTCAAGCCGATCATCTGGAGCAGGTCACCCAAGTAGTATCTACATGCACCCATGTTAGCCACTATTTGGACGTTGAATCATAAACAGCATCAAGAGGCTTACGAGATTAGGGTGTTGCCAGACCACTGAGTGAAGAGGCCCAACATGGAAGAGATGAGAGCACGGCGGCGCATACCAGCCGTGTTAAGAAGGTCCATCCACGACTGCTTGGAAGCTTCCATCTCGAGGGTAATGACAGTCTTCATCTGTGCCATTTCGGCCTTAACAAACTCGGAGTCGCGGTCGCCTTCGGCGTGGTACTTGATGAGGATGTCGTGGGCTTCTTCGCTCCGGTCTCTGGTGATGAGCCATCGTGGACTCTCGGGCAGGAAACTGTAGGTATCTTATGTAAGGTTTGCTGAAGAATATGGAGTTTCGCGTCTGATCGGGAAGCCACTTACAAGACGAATGAGATTTGCAACAAAGAAGGGCAAATCTGGAGTAGGGAGGGGATTCTCCATGCCCAGTTGCTTGCTATGTTGTTCGTACCGAAACAGATACCGGCGGCCACGATTTGACCAACGAAGTACGCAACGTTGAAGCTGAAAATCCGTTACTCTACACACTCCGTCCCATAAAGACTCATATACTTACAGCGAGGTCAGAACAGGACGTTCCTTGGGATAACTCAATTCACCAATGAGAGACGAGCCGGAGACGATGCATGTCGGGATACCAAAACCGAGGATCATGCGGGCAACGATGTACATGCCAACTTCTCAAAGTTAGTTTTTATTCGAGACCAATGCGGGCGATGAGACGGCCAAACGTACCATGCTGAGAGAAACCCTGGATGAGAGCTCCGACAACCATGACCAAGCTGCCGCCAAAGATGGACCATCTTCGCCCAAACCTATCGTTCACGATGGGGATAAAGGGAAGTGACAGAATGGCGCCTAGGGAATACGCAGCGGCGATGATACCCTTCAAACTGCCCTGTGGATCTCCAAAGTCTATCGAATCTAGTCAACTTCAAGATCCCAAGCGTATTCACTTCACTGGACCAGACTCACAGTCTTTCCATGATGGCACAATCTGCAGCGCATTGATCATTTGCGAATCGAAACCAGACGTCAACTCGATGCCCATGCACGTCGGGAAGAGCATCAGGTAGAGGTATCGCAGGTTCGGCTTCTGGTACCACGGCACCTTGTCCTCCTCCGAGATGCGGGTCAGGATGGGGTCCGCTGCCCCGGTCTCCTGGGCACGCTTGATCTGGACCATTGTGAGGATTGAACTGCGGCTCGCGGAAGAAGACGATAGATCGGTGAAGAGAGTCTCAACGACGCGTCAAAAGGTCTAAACGGTGACAGTCGATGAGGATGGGATAAGGAATAAGTAGTTCTCTATCCCGTAGACGGAAGTATATGTTACCGAGTCCTTGTTCCTCGGCGTTCAAGGGTGTGTGTCTATTCGAGGAGCGCAACTCCAACGCTTCTCTAGTGTCTCCGTAGACTCTCTCGCCTCCAACTTCCGACGAGGTCCACCCGGGTATTTTATAGACATACGCACTGCCGTGAAGGAATTATCCCATGTTTGAATGCGTCCGAACCTATCAGCATACTGGCCAGATTCCGGCAGAGAGTGAGCCAGAGCCAGAGCAGGCTAAGGCGGGACAGCGGGAGAGGGAAGCGCGCCGGCCAGGATCCCAGGTGGCAGAAGGTCCGAATGAGATGACTGTTGCATCGGGGACACGCTCACAAAGAGCCGGGGGGCGTTGGCCATGGGAGAAGAGTTAGCTTCTCGCCAAGAAGTGCCCAGGAGGTCGGGGTTGGGGTTGAATTGAACTGCTGTTTGCATTTATCCATCCAGTGAGGAAACCACGTTCATCTTAAACAATGGAGCAACAACAATTATATGCGGGGAAAGCTTCCACTTCCCCCACATGGTCTTTGCTTTTCCCCATGGGCGTTGGTCAGATGGCTCGCTGCTTAATCTATGGGCATGGGCTGTTTGGGGGGAGATGGGAAGGATTGTGGGAGGTCAACTCCGCATCTCCGCTAGAACAACTTGGATGGTTTGGGGAAAGGCCAGGAGCCAAGGAGGCGGGTTATTGGTTAGTCTTCCGCCTTTTGCTTACGGAAAATGAACGAACGGGATCAGCATCAGCATCAGCATCAGGTTTGTTTCCTCGAGGTGCTTGGCTTGGCGGTGACTTGATCAGAGGATTGGGGGTGGAGGGGAGGTTGGCACCGTTACTGTATTCGGTCATTCGGGGTGGCCAGAAGCGAGATTTCGTATCCTGTGCCGAGGTCATGACGGAAGTCCGAGGAGTGGAGAGTCGAGGCACTTCAATCTCTTGGAATCTACGACGATAAGTCTACGGATGCTATGAACCATAAACGCCTTCCTAGAAGTAGGTGTCTTTAGAGTGAGAGGCTTCCGTCGAAGCATGGTGTCTCCAGTGCTTTCATTGCGCAGTTCAACCATCCCGATGGATATCAGATTACTCCAACCACGTTGCAGGTGCTCATGTGGACTGACGCCGACAGACTTTCCAGCGCAGTAACGCGGCACAGCTCGTCTATTCAAGGCAAGCTGCGTAGGATGCGGACGAAAAGAGCCTTACTTCATAAGAGGAAAAGACCTGTCGTGTCACCACATATTCTTGGGGTTTGAAGTCATGCTTACTTCTCCCGCCGGCCGGGCAAGCGTCTGTATGTTTATTTACTTGAATGCGATTGGCGAAGTTCTTAATCCCTGCAAACTCGAGATGTGCCCACCACATATTGTCCTCACTTGTCATTGCATCAGGTCCGACCCCATCCTTCATGTCATCCCAACGCTGCGGTTGACAACTAGGGAGACACGTAATACCTCCCACCCTACATATCACAATACTATTCTAATCCGCACCGAGTACCGACTGGCCTACTCGGACTCGTGGACGGTGCCCGTGCCGTGTATCAGCGGCGGATCGGAGCCCATCCCGGTTGAAGCCATTGGAACGCGAGGATGCATGATTCCATGGTCGACCTAGCCGGGTAATATCAAAAACTATCACTAGAGGATGCGCCAGGATGATACACACCCCTTCTCCAATTCTTCTGTCCCCTAGTTGCTACCCATGAGCCACGACGTTGATCTTGACCCGGAGGGAGGGCGAGGCTTTGCGGGGAACCGTCAACGACATCTCATTGGAGTAGGGCCAGATGCTGTCAACCACCCTGAGTGGGCTCGAGATTCCAGAATGTGACTTATGTTAACACATTTGTAGTGTACGCCCGACCACAGGAGAGCATGCTATTTTGTATCAAGTTTTTTTCATCCTTTGCATCCAGCAATGAGCCACTGGTAAGAGGAAGACATCAGGCAGACATCACGCGGACAAGAAGTCCTCCGTCCAACCCAAAAAGAGGATAAACAAAAGTCCTTGACATACTCCATCTTCTCCACAAAACAACACACAATACTCCTGGAATAAGATCTTAGGATCCTGACAGCAAGGCGGGAAAATCAAAGACCACACCCTACCCCTCCCCCCTCGATCCCTCTACCGGCATCGCGGGAGACCGGGGGGCACGAGGGAGGTGGGGTGCGACCGTCAACCGTCAAGTCCCGAGAGAAGGGCCGATTGCCACGAGGAATTGGGACTAGATAATCGGGACGTCGTCCCTGAACTTCTGTCCCTTGGAAGTTTCTATTCTTTTGATCTCTTGAGCTTCGGAAGGATCGCAGAGTGTCTCTTTATCTTTTCGCTGCTTGGCTTGATCTTAGGCTTGGCTATGTGAAAGCTCGAAGAAGGGAAAAGTGGAGGTGGATTCAGGAAAGGTCTAATCCGATTGTTCACGACATCCGAATACTCCCGACTCGAGCCCCCATCCGAACGATTTCGA